AATGAACTTTTGCACGATATTCTAATTATTCGATTTCACCTGTAATGTTAGTGAACCTAGACCTGACCAACTGAAGCAACCCAAATCATAACTCTTATCCAAAGGAAGGCTCTTCCCTATTTGCTTAGCTAAATCCAGGTTGTGACTTTTGGCAGGCAGTGTAGAATATAGCACAAACTACACATCATTCTCTTTGTGAGTGACGAGACAAACTAGAAACACATAATTCCTAAAACAGCATTGCAGTACTTAAGCATGTTATTGAAAAAGACTAACACCAACCAGTTTGATGTGTACATCATATTAAAAAGTAGTTCAACAGCTAGAAGTAAACCTGGTCATCTTTATTCAATCATCACCTATATTCAGCATCCAATTCATGCTCTAAGATGCTGCTTCACAGAAAACATGGTCATATAAATCCCGATGCTTGCATACAAGTTGCATATATTTTTGCCACATGTCATGTGTATGGCAACAGTCTCACACCACTCATCTCCCTGCTGCCTCTCATCTTGTGGCCTGCTATAAAGTTAGGGCCAGTGCATATTAGTTTGACATGCTTCTGAAAGCCAATCTCAAAAACAAATTGAGCGCACCTGAAAAGTACACCGCATTTGCCCATCTACACAACCCCTTATAAAAAGGTGATCACTACAACAAAAGGAATATAACTAGTCATTACCGGACATACAACATTAAAATAAGCAGTTATATACATTAGAACACTCACCTCTTCTACCAAATTATCATCTGGATCATAGTCTTTCAAATTTATAATTTCAACAGGCAAGCCCATAGGTGTGATATCTTCAGCGAGAACATGAGCAAATCCCTAAAATTTAAAAATAAAATTAAAAAAAAAAATTTTAAAATGCAATTATGTTATATGGTGAATTATGATGCGCTTTTGATTAAAAATTTTAAAGGAAATTAATGAAGACATTGTAAAATCCAGGAGATATCTTACCAACTGCTTAAAATTGACTAAAAGCTGCTTTTAATACCGATTTATGTCCTCTAAACGAAACCAATCATGGAAGACATGTAGGATTACATTTCTGATAAGAGCTGAAGGCCGCTATTGAAGCATCCTGGTCTTCCATAACACCTCAGCAGTGCCACAGGCTGATAGCTTCCATGCCACGCCGCATTGAGGCAGTAATTGCTGCAAAAGGGGCCCAAACTAAGTACATATGCATGCTTATACTTTTCAGAGGTCCGATATTGTTCTATGTACAATCCTTGTTTTATTGATTGCATGTAATATTCTAATTTTCTGAGATTGTGGATTTGGGGTTTTCATGAGCTGTAACCCATAATCACCACAATTATGACAAATCACGGCTTGAATTATCTTGCTTTGCATGTAATGAGTCTATCTCATATATTAGTTTCACCTTTTAAGTTGCATTAGTGAAATAAATGAACTTTTGCACGATATTCTAATTATTCGATTTCACCTGTAATGTTAGTGAACCTAGACCTGACCAACTGAAGCAACCCAAATCATAACTCTTATCCAAAGGAAGGCTCTTCCCTATTTGCTTAGCTAAATCCAGGTTGTGACTTTTGGCAGGCAGTGTAGAATATAGCACAAACTACACATCATTCTCTTTGTGAGTGACGAGACAAACTAGAAACACATAATTCCTAAAACAGCATTGCAGTACTTAAGCATGTTATTGAAAAAGACTAACACCAACCAGTTTGATGTGTACATCATATTAAAAAGTAGTTCAACAGCTAGAAGTAAACCTGGTCATCTTTATTCAATCATCACCTATATTCAGCATCCAATTCATGCTCTAAGATGCTGCTTCACAGAAAACATGGTCATATAAATCCCGATGCTTGCATACAAGTTGCATATATTTTTGCCACATGTCATGTGTATGGCAACAGTCTCACACCACTCATCTCCCTGCTGCCTCTCATCTGGTGGCCTGCTATAAAGTTAGGGCCAGTGCATATTAGTTTGACATGCTTCTGAAAGCCAATCTCAAAAACAAATTGAGCGCACCTGAAAAGTACACCGCATTTGCCCATCTACACAACCCCTTATAAAAAGGTGATCACTACAACAAAAGGAATATAACTAGTCATTACCGGACATACAACATTAAAATAAGCAGTTATATACATTAGAACACTCACCTCTTCTACCAAATTATCATCTGGATCATAGTCTTTCAAATTTATAATTTCAACAGGCAAGCCCATAGGTGTGATATCTTCAGCGAGAACATGAGCAAATCCCTAAAATTTAAAAATAAAATTAAAAAAAAAAATTTTAAAATGCAATTATGTTATATGGTGAATTATGATGCGCTTTTGATTAAAAATTTTAAAGGAAATTAATGAAGACATTGTAAAATCCAGGAGATATCTTACCAACTGCTTAAAATTGACTAAAAGCTGCTTTTAATACCGATTTATGTCCTCTAAACGAAACCAATCATGGAAGACATGTAGGATTACATTTCTGACCTTAAGAAAATGCTACTTTTCTGAAGGCAAACGGCAGTTTCAAAAAGCAGTCAATCGTGACAGCCTACATATTTCACTCACAAAAGGTTAACTACAAATAAAATAAAACTAGGTTAACATAGCTTTTCAAAATAATCTATCGACTCTAATTTTTTTCTTTACACCATATGTACAAAATTCAGCAGAACTTACCATCAACCTCAAGCCGACCACTATGGGTTAATAACAGGGAAATTATTATTTTTTCATTAAAAGCAAATGTTGCAACCTCTAAATAGCATTAAATCCACCACACAAACATTTTTCATGGTTTGCAATAAGGAAGAAACATAAAATTATATTTCAAAAACACACACACACACACACACACACACACACACACACACTAAAGAAACAAGG